CCGGCGGTTTGTATAAATACCATCATGCGGGAAACCTGCTCATCCGCCCCTCAGATATGCAGTCTTTCTTCCTCCTGTTCGCAGCAGCCCTCGGTACCAGCGCCGCTGTTGCGCCCCGTCACAGTGCGCCCCTGGAAATCAACACCCCGTGCGCCGTCCCTCTTCCCCCATTCCCTTGCTCCCGTACTTGACGCTTTCTGCGCAGCGTTCCCGGTGCAGGTACATTCATGCTTCGTCTCGCTACTGGCACCACTAAATCCGTCCACAGCTCAGTGCGAGCCCATCATAATCACTTGGTCCGGTGGAATCCGTGCGTCTACTTGTTCGCTCGTTGCGCGGATTCCTCACGTAGTCGACTTTTGGATTGTCAGCCCCTTACGTTGTCGTACGTCACTTCCTGGATTGTCCCCGGGGTCTCGAGAGTCGATTGACTTTTCTTCTTGTTCTCAGGCGTATGCACGTGTGTTGCACGAGATTCCCCACATTAACAACTCTTGTTAATCAGCGTTCAAACCAACCCCATCCAGCCAACGCCCCTCGTTGACTTCGGGCTGCTTACCGGCAACGTCATTACTTGGCTCGTCAATGCCACGCTCGGTGTGGAACTGTAGTACACAGTCTGTGGATGCTGGACTGACAGCTGCGTGCCTCCAGGGCAATCTCTCATCCTCGAGGTCACGGATGACGAGGCTAGGGGCCTCCACACCGTTACAAGCGCGCCGTTCAACGTCATCGCCGGCGGTACGTCGTTGCGTCGGCTCAGATTTGCTCGTTCGCTGACTTGCGCGATGCTGCAGCCGGAGATGGGTGCATCAATGGGAACTGAGTCGTTGTACCTGCTGTGTCAAAAGTAGCAACAGCAAACAAAGGACAAAGTCTTTGAACGTCGGACGTACATATAGACTAAGGCTCCAACCATTTAGTTTTCGTGTGACGATCCGGGCAAATCAAACGGAAACGGTATTTAAACAGTTTAAAAACCATTTAAAACCGTTTAAAAGGGTATTTTTGGGGGATGGCAGAAACTAGCGAGAAACCCGAGTTGAACGACAGGTATATTACCTCTGCGGCAGTCACAGTTGTGCTGGGCTCGGGAAGCTCGGCTTTAAGCCAAAGCCTTACCCATCTTCGACTTGGGTGGGGCCCAAGTAGGCCTCAGAGTCTTTTGAGAGACGTGCGCGGTTTGAGGCTTGGGTATCTTGACATAGCCTACTCAACGCCGAACGGCATTTTGGTGTATATTTCTTGCTTTATATATCTCCTGAAACCTAGATGAGATTCGTTAGTTTTCTTCTACGGAATTTCAATTACTTCCACATTCAGATTCAAGGTTGAATAGGTACGCCGGAAGATTCCGTCGTATTAATGGATTGCTCCAACGACTTCAGGGCCAGTTGCGACCAAGGAAAAGTGCCCTGAGCTTCATGAGACGTGAGCCATAGTTTAAATGTCAATATTTTAACATCCCATTCAACCTTGAGGACTGACATCGCAGACCCTCCCCCATAGAACCGTTTAAACCATTTAAAACCATTTGTTTACCGTTTGGACTTCACCCCAAACAAAATGGAAATAAAAATGGTTAAAACCGTTTTAAACCGTTTACAAACGGAAACGGTTGGAGCCTTAATATAGACTCGGAGGGAATGACCAAACAGGCCCGGCATGTCATGCAAGAACGCGCAACTGGGCGCCAAAAAGGAAATTGGACTTCCGGCAGGCTCCGCGGTGAATGGGCATGTACGTTTCGTCGACCCACGATACTGACGCTGCGGCGGTCTTCTGCTGCACTGGTACGGATGCGACACGGGCGCGAGGAGGGGGACGAGCCGGAGCGTCTGCGAGACAGCGTGCTGTGGCGTCGGGCCATCGGCCGCATCGTGCTTCGGGCGCTGGGTGCGCGTGTACGTCCCCTCAGTAGACCATCCCGAGTCGTGTGATCTGCGCGCGCTGCAGGAGATCGAGGAGGGGCTCTGCAGGTGGTTCCGCACGTTAGTATGCATTGAAGGTCACGCACACCCTGGGCTGACGACTCACGGGTAACCTCCGGAGTGGAGGCGAAATCGCACTCACTAAATTAAAACACACCACTGAATTGCGTACGTACCTAGACTAAAAGAAAGCTAACAACGGCTTGATAGCGGACGGTCCGCACTTGCATCATCTCGTATATCCGCCACAGCTCCCGCAGGTTACGCCCGTTCGACTCGGGCTCGAGCCATGGAACGCGGCTGCCACTGCTTCTTTTTGTGGATATTTGCCCGCCCGTCTCCTCTCAAATGCGCACGACATTCCTTTCTATTTTTTGTGGAGGATAGGCTGTCTCTCCTGCCTTTGCTGGATTTTGTACGCCGTGCAGCCGTAACGACTCCAGCCTCAGAGGAAATCAGCAAACAAGATGCACATGTATCCAGATTCACAAGCAGAGCTTGTATCGGCTCGTCGCGGATGGTCCGCACCTGCACGCGTTGTGTGGGACCCTTCACTCTCATGGATTCGAGCCATGGAAATTTTATAGGCACATTATTTTTACAGCAGCTTCCTCAGTATGATGACCTAGCGCACCTCGAAGTATCCCCTCCACATAATTATACTCCCCCCTCTCCCTCGGCCAGATGTCCTGGATCTCATGATGAATCAGTGTACAGAGATCGAGGTTCCAAACTAGGATTGGAATGGCTCGATGGCTCTTGAAAATTGTCTATGTATCAAAGTTGAAAGGAAGTTAAGAACGGCTCGATAGCGGAGGGTCCGCCCCTGCAAATAATTGGCATAGACCAAGGCGTCACACAGGATTCACCCGTTCGACTCGGAGTCGAGCCATGAGTTTGGAAGATGAAACTTTTTGCTCACCGCCACCTCAGACACTACTTGAGAAGAGTTCTGCGCCTGACGTTTCGGCCACTCACAGCGGAGGTGGAGACTACTTTTACTAAGTTAAAACACGCTAATGAATTGTGTATGTATCCGGGTTGAAAGCAAGCTAAGAACGCCTCGATAGTGGACGGTATGCACATGCATCTCATGGACAGCTGCCAGCCTACATGCACGCATGCGTCACCCGTTCGACTCGGGCTCGAGCCATGTTAGAAGCCGTATAAGCTTTTTGTCTCCAGAACGGCCTGCATCGATTCCTTTCAAAAAACTTACCTCCCCTTGCGCTCAAGAAACCTCTATTATTGCCTATCTACCTATTTCCGGAGTGGAGACGAAGACCACTCTCGCTGATCGTGACACGCTAAGAAATGGTGTATGTACCTAGGTTTAAAGCAAGCTAAGAACGGCTCGATAGCGGACGGTCCGCCCTTGCAGATCATTGGTGTAGACTTAGGCTTCACGCAAGATTCACCCGTTCGACTCGGGCTCGAGCCATAAAGAGAAAGCCGGGATTCTTTTTTTTACAACGTTCTGCTAGCTGAATCACCAGCTGGTGTCTCGCCGGGAGAGAGGCTAGAGTTCGCACTCTGATTGCGGACTGTCTAAGAATTGGCACGGGAATTGGTGACAGGGCCGAAGTAAACTTCTCTCGTAATAGACGCGCCCGAGAGAGGGACCATAAGAGACGACACTAGGGTATTATTATAAAAAAGGCAGTAAGAGATACAGGAAGGACGCTGCACGGTGAAAGATGGGAAGAGATAAAGGGAGGAATAAAAAGGCCGACGCAGCTAAGTACTGCGGCCCGGTAAAAAGACGTCGAGGAGCTGGAACGAGGACGCAACGAGTACGCAACCCAAGCAGCATTGGATTGAGTACTCACATATGCACTACGCGCAACCAGCGTGGCCTCGCGCGGCGTCAGGCGATCGGGAGCGTGGCGATGGGCAGCGGTCAGGATGTGCGATGAGCTGCACGTCAACTTCAGAACGCGCTTGCGCGAAAAGGCATGCGGGGTCCGGAGGGTATCTCCAACGAGCGAGACCGCAGCACGCGGGTGTGCAGGAGCTCGGCGAGCGCGCAGGGACAACAGCGATCCGGGATCGAGACGACTCCGACGGTACGAAAGCCGAGGGACGCGCTGCGGAGCACGAGATGTGAAGCTCAGCCGGAGGGCAGAGATTCTGGCGCCGACGCGCCATACGCATCGCCTACAAAAACCAGCCTGTGAAGAGAAGTAGGATGAAAGAAAAAAGGAGCGAAAAGGCACGCACCACACCGAACGCACCAAACCCCATGAGCGCCAGCTCATTCCGAAGCCTCCACCGTCTTGCGAGGGCCTAGAGCGTCCTATCGCTCAGCACAACGCGCTGAAGAACACCGTCCATGGATTATTCGAGGGGCGCAGTGCGTCCGGGCAGAAGGGAAGGAGGAGGGCGGTAGGGAGGAGCGGGGGCAGGGTGGGCGACGGCGGGGCGAGTGCAGCGCCGATGTGGTGCGCCGGGTCACTATTATCCATTAAAATCTAGTACTTCAATCTAACACAGAAAGAAAGAAACGGACTCGAGCGGGCCCTTGGGCTTTGGACGGGCGGTGGAGATCATGCGCGGAGAAGAGGTGGGTGGGGCCATCATAACCATCAATTTACCACGGCCATCACATCAATTTTGCCTAAGGCACGTGTCAGGGACCGAAGCGGGCCACTTCCATTTCCGCGCTGGCACAGCCTCGCGACTCAGCCGACGGGCCCGCCGGCGAGGGCGGCGGCATCCGTGGTTCCGCAGCAGGGTGTAATTGAGCTTACTCTGGTGCAGCGATATCGATATATTTCCATTCCGAAAGCCTTTCGGCCTTTCTGCATCCGACTCGCCGAGGTGTTTTTGGGGTGTTTGACGGCCCAGGTGTTTTACTCCCGAGGTATTTTTCGGGTAAGCTCGTTTTGAGTTCTCCGGGATTCAATTACCGATAGCGCAGATCGGAGAGCCTGTCCTTCTCTGTTGCAAGATATGGGCTTCGCCGTTTTATTCCCACAATGAGTAATTCCCCTCAGCTCCCTCGGTCCAGGGCTGCCTGCACCACCGAAAAGAGACACAGGTATTCAGGTACACAACCACGGTTGTATCGGCTCGATGGCGGAAGGTCCGCACCTGCATTCTATTAGAGCTGTTGTCCAAGATCGTCCATGCAGGTCCCGCCCGTTCGACTCGGGCTCGAGCCATGGTTCACAGTTGTATGGGTTTTTTCTCAAGCCATGAAAGTTTTTGAGACAAAGTTTTTTTTTTACAGGAGCTTCAGGATCCTCCCGCAAATAATCAACCTCCGCTCTCACTCTCTCACTCCGTCATTTTCTATTCCCTTCAGAAAGCACAGGCAAGCGGTTCTCATGATTGTACTCACTAAATAAATGCGCGTATATTCAAATTCGGAGTACAGCTTATATCGGCTCGATAGCGGAGGGCCCGCACCTGCCGTTGGTGATGAAATCACGGAACCACTTGATGCAGGAGACGTCCGTTCAACTCGGGCTCGAGCCATGTGAAATGGCAATGACGGTTTCTTTTTTGGCGAATATCGCTGGCCGCATCTTTCCGACTGCGGGCGACGATCTTCTTTCTAATTTTTTTTTTTTTTTTGAGGATAGGCTGTCTCGGTTCCTAACACGTGTCCTTCCTTGCTGGATTTAATGCGCCGTGCAGCCGGGACGGCTCCAGCCTCAGACGAAATGAGCAAAAAGATGCACATGTATCCAAGTTCGTCGGCAGAGCTTGTATCGGCTCGGTGGCGGACGGTCCGCACCTGCATTCTGTTGAGCCGCTTGTAGTTGGTTGTTTATGCAGGAGATGCCCGTTCAACTCGGGCTCGAGCCATGGCCCCTGACAGTGGTGCTTTCTTTTTTGCTGAATATTCCTGATTCGCCTCTGCCCGAATCCGTTCGGCTCCCTGGCTCCCATTTCGTTTGAGTACAGGCTGCTGTTGCTGGATTTCCTACGCCATGTGCAGCTGTAAGGTCTTCCCGCTGAACCCAAATTGCTGAAGGAGATGCAGAGGTATCCAGGTTCTCCAAGAGAGCTGGCATCGGCTCGGTGGCGGATGGTCCGCATCTGCATCTCATGTATCTGGTTCATTCGACGTCACGCAGGAGAGGTCCGTTCGACTCGGTCTCGAGCCATATGTTTTAATGGCGCTTTTTTCTCTCGCTGTTCGCCTCCTTCGCCCCACCCGCTGCCTCTGGCAACCTCCCCTCTCTTCTACCGGCTGTGGCGGAGTCGAAGTACGCTCTCGAGCTAGCTCGAACTAGTACTGAAAAGCCCTCAGAGTTGTTTATGTATCTAGGCCGAAAGCAAGCTAAGAACGGCTCGATGGCGGACGGTCCGCGCCTGAATACGCTGGATGATTACACCCGTTCGACTCGGACTCGAGCCATGACCAAATCGGACACGAGTTTTTTCCTCCGCGACCTCGCGTTACGAAGTGCTGAAGCATTCAGTTCTCCTACCTCAATATCTCGGCGGTCTGCTTCCAGCAGCCATCTCCTGTTGTTATTCCGCCACTGCAGACTAGAAGTCTCCTCTCGAGCTCGTGCGGAGACCCGCTCAAGATTGTACATGTATCCAGGTTCTAAACCAGCCTAAGAACGGCTCGATAGCGGATGGTCCGCACCTGCATCTCATGGGTTGGTCCACCATATGTCACGCAGGTTACGCTCGCTCGACTCGGGCTCGAGCCAACCGACTGCATCCAGCCTGAACGCTTTTTTTTTTTACAACGTTCTGCTAACTGAATCGCTAGCGGGCGTCTTTTATTGCTGTTCAGGCAAATTCCGCCCCACCTCCCCCGAATTCAAATCTGAACTATGCTATTTCGTAGAACCTCCTGGTATCTGAGCTCGCGGGATATGCCGTACCACGCAGTCGTAAGTAGCCTCGTCCCATCCGTGAACCATCACGCTGAAGGAAAACTGCACGTGTATTCAGGTGCAAATATAACATATAACATACGAACGGCTCGACAACGAAGGGTCCGCTCCTGCAATGCCTTCCTATCAGCTTCAGTGTCCCATTCGACTCGGGCTCGAGCCATGGGTGATTGCAAATGTTTTTGTCCTGTGCCCCAGAACGGCGTACATCCCTCCAAAACTTACCTCCCTTCCGCGCTCAACAAACCTCTTTTATTGCTTGCTTCTCTGCGGAGTGGAGGCGAAACTCACTCTCGCTAAATTAAAACACGGTAATGAAATATATGTATTCAGGTTGAAAGCACTCTAAGAGCGGCTCGATAGCGGAGGGTCCGCACCTGCATTCTGTGCTCTGGTGGATCATAAACAACGCATGCATGGGTCACCCGTTCGACTCGGGGTCGAGCCATGTTCGAAGCCGTATAAGCTTTTTGTCACCAGAACGGCCTGCATCGATTCCTTTCAAAAAACTTACCTTCCCTCGTGCTCAAGAACTCCCGAAGGACGATGGGAATGGACTTGAACGCAAGAAGGACGGGCTAACGCACGCAAGTGGACGCTGCACGGACAAGCTACGTATTTTTATCATCCTAAAGTTGCGTAATGAATGCACTGCTGCTTTTTTATTGGCTTCCTTCGCGCGGGCGGATGCCCATCGTCACGCGCGATCGGGGACGCTCGGCGAGCCTATATCTGCCAGTCTATCGCGCGCCGTGTGCATCATCCGCGCAGCACGCTCCTCCGAGCTCGCTTTCTGCTCCAGCTACCGCTTGCACTGCAGGTACCACGTTGCAGGATAGGAGCGCCGGTGGCAGGTGCGCGGGGCACCAACGATGTTGCACAAGCATGGGTAGCGGGGTTCCACGCCCTGAGTGCACCGAGCTCGCCGGCCGTTTATCTGGGCCACAAGCATCAGATGTCATGGGCTGTACGAAGGCGGAAGATGGCATGGGCATGTATGGCGAGCTTGGTTCTTCTGTCCGAGCTATCGACACTTGCGTTCACGGGGACGCCTTCACTGGGATTGCTTCCAAGACCTTTCCTTAATTTGTCCCCCACTCCGCGGTCATCACATCATGTTAGCCCGTTTCTCACGTCATCTGACAACGATCCATTTATCATCCTCTGTTGAGGTAGTCTCGAATCGGGGCAATTCGTGTAGTGACACCCCCCATCGAGTCACTCTCGCTTGTCACACTTCGCGCGATTCAGTGTCCTTGTGCTCTGCCAATACCTTTTCTCCCTCAATTTGTTAGTAGAAATGCCCTAGCAGATAATCCAAAACATGTCTCAATTTTTTCTGGGTGTTCTTGGGCGTACTTTCGTGGAACGAGCCCGAAGTAGGCTCGTGGTGGGTGCAGCCTACAAACCCCCAGAAATGCCTCAGAAAAATGGGGGAAATTTGGAGAAGACATTAGAATACAGTAGAATTACACGTGGATAAGGCTTTGGGTGCAGAGAATGCGGTGGGAGTGAAGACTGAAGTAGGTGTGACCCGATGGGGGGGATCACCAAGCGAAGTGCACCAGACGTTTGGGAGTAATATACCCGCCGCTGGAAAGTTCGTTGGCGGCCGCCGGTGGCCACCATTGATTATCGGTGGCCATCGGCAGATGCTGATGGACATTGTATGACGCTGTCTGCCAATGGATTCGTCGGGTCCGCCAATCACCAGCGGCATCCGCCGGACCGCCAGCCTCAGCTCGCGGAATCCAGTGGAGACAGATAATTTAAATGCCTGGCCATGGGATGTGCTTTCGGCGTCCGCAGTTCAGGCTGGCTGCTCAATAGTATTGGAGCTCCTGAACGCTAATTGAACCTAGCGGAAGTTCGGTTGAACTGAAGAATGAAGGCTTTAAATTCACTCTGCAGGTGGGAGACAAGTCATGCAACACTTATCCATTCCACGACGCCCAACTGGTACGCATAGCCCATACTACAGTGAATTTTGGGAGGAATTGGGTACCTGATGGCTCATTCGACAGACTGAGTTGAAGCAGGAGACCTGGAGACGATTGTCTCATAGATCATATTTCTTCCATCCAATTCACTTGTCAAGCACGATACTTCATTTAAAGCCAAACTTCTGATAAGAAAACAGTGTCAGAAATTATCTAAAAGCCATCCGAAGCCACTGGAACACGATGGAGTCCAACGGCAATTGGTGGCTCTCGAGTGGTTGCAGGCCAGCAACATCCGTTGGAAACCATCATGAGCTAATGAATCTCGTCAGTGAGGTCCAATGGTTTCCAGTGGGACTTGGGGTGCATACTGGAAGCCAGTGTTTTCCATTGGGGCCCAACGAACCTGCACTGAGTCCCGGCGGAGGCCGATGCCGACCAATGCCGATCGGCCGACTTGTCAGTGCCGCGTATATTACTGACGTTTGGGTGCTGTCTCTGCGCTTCATTTTTCAAACTCCGACGGGCCGGTGATCCGGAAGCACCCAATCGTCTGGACCTTGACAAGCATCTCCTCAGCCCTGATCAGCTTTCGCTATGCAGCCAGCTGCACGGGTCCACTTCGCTGGCTTCTAAACTCAGGGAGAATGGCAACGGAGGGAGAAGAAGCAAGTCCGCGCGATAAGGTGAGAATAAGCGCCGGAAAAGGAAATCTTCGGGGGCGTTGAACCGGATTCACATGTTGTAGTCTTTTTTAACAGAACCCTTCGCCGTTCCTCGCTCTGAATGAAATGTCGGGGTTGGGCCTCGGCCGGGTCAAGGAAACTAACCTGATCGCGTCGGACTCAGTAGTAGAAGTAGCGTGCACTGGCAGAGTGATATTCATAGACCTGCCTGGCTCCCATCTTTTGACATGCGACAGCACGCCCGGTGCCTGTCAGCTCATTGTCGAACTGGAGCCTCTTGAACCGCTCCCCCCACGCAGTCTGCCTGGTTTTCAGATGGCATTCCGGCGATTGTCGCAAAACCGCAGGATGAGTGGAGATCTTCGATTCCATACAGTCGGACAGAGAGAAAGATGCGTGGAAGCATGAGATGAACTGCCATGGCCAGTGGACCTGAATGGCCAGGTCTGGGCGAGCAATGAGGAAGGGAGTGTGTCCAAGTTGGATCAAGGAAGAGCTCAAGGGCCAAGAGCGAGAGTAACGGGGGACGAAACACTGACAACATGAAGACAGATGTCGCTGGAGGAGACTCGAGATAATGTATACTCACGTAGAATATGAGCAAATGAAATGCGAAGGCAGCGAGCAGCGGCGATAGAATCGAAGACCCAGGCAGCGCGGACGTACACGGCGAGAAGCGGCAGCAGCGCTGGCGGCGCGAAACGAGCATGGTGCTGGAGGCAAGGCGCGTGTGGTCATATCTGGCTCGGTGATCGGACCGATGCCGGATATAGGCGCATCAATTGTGCAAAAAAAAGTAGAAGAAGACAAATCGGAAACATAGGTCGTGTAAATTCTCATGATAAGGATGTTGAGACGGATGTCACGTAATTATTTCATCTAGCAGAGAGGCTATCAAAAATTACTGGCAAACGGGGCTAGGTCAAGTGAGGTATTAAAATACTGGGAAACAAAGGCGTATAAGGTGGGCGTCGTGCAGCGCAGTAGATAAT